GGGGCCTCCCGGGCCATCTGGACTGACCAGCCGGCTCCGCTCGTGCCACATCCACTACGTCTTTGTCAACTAGGGGCATCACAGACCTGCTATTCTATTATTTTGTCACTGGGAACACAGTTTGGGGAGGGACATGTTAATTTCCCCTTATCCCCAAAGCTAGGGTCCTGATCCTTCTCAGGGTTGGTACTTACTCTATAGTAGAAACAACCACAATAATGTACTTAGGTCTAAATGAAGGCAAAAGAAATGATCTCAGGTCTAGGGACAGAGTGGTGGACAAGCAATAGCATTCTCTGCTTCGTGGCTGGGATGAACTCACTGCTGCAGCCCTGTGCGGCATCACGGAAGATTTCACCTCTCCCTTCTGATCTTCCTCTGCTACCATCAAAGCTGAAGCAACCATGTCCAAAGAACCAACATCCAGCAGATGTACTTCAATTTAAACAGGCAAACGTGAAACACATAGCCTCGCAAAATTGTGTCACTTTGTATGCTCAGGCTGCCCAGTAAGCATAAGCGTAAGACAGAAGGACCACTGTGGCTAAGCAGGTTGGACTGTGTAAGCTGCTTGGGTGGGAAGACTGCCTGGGAACTTTCCCTAAACTGCTCTGAGAAAGAAGACAGGTCGAAGTTCAAAAGCGGACTAAGCTTGAATCAAGCGCAAACTTGGATGCTGAGGTTTACAGCAATTCACATAAATATCAAACAAAATATTATATCAAGATTCATTCTGTGGATGTTCACAAATTGCTCCCTTCGTGACAACATGGATTGGACTAATTTGGAATTCTGCTTAATTCTCCACCTTCCACATTTGTTCCACCTCTTGTCTGACTGCAGCAGTGGGATCCCCAAAAAGTGGATTTTTCCCCCCTCTCCCAATGTTGTTTCTACTACCACTACTACAGGTTCACTTTACAAATTGAAGGCCCTTGTGGAAACGAAGGAAGGCCTGGCAGGTATACCCCGTTCTGTTTTCCAAGTCACAAAAGGTTTGACAGCGTATATATGTACAGGCTGTGGAAGGAACTCAAGAGAGCCAAGGGGCAGGTCAGAGCCCTCTGATGGAATGGAGCTTGCTAACGGGCCAGAGAGGTGAAGAAGTTTCCCTCTCTCCCTTCGATGTTGCTGCTGTTGCACAATTACAGATAAATTCTGTTTGTTTTATCAGACACAGGACCTAGACGTGTTGCCAGGCTCACTCTCTGCTGGACCCAAAGATCTGCAGGAAAAACGAGAATATGTAGATGATGTCCAGGTAAATGTTGAGGGCGCCGAAGATGTATTCTTCTGGACTCATGGCGTAGCGGCGATTCCCCATCAGCAGCTGCGTGTCGAAGGCCAGGAACTGCAGAGAGGAAAGCAAACACAAGCAGGGGTTAACTGGGCAGTCCTGAATCAGAAGTAAGCCCCCATGAATTCAATTCAATGGGACTTTCTCCCAGGGAAATTAGTACCAGGCTTTGCTGTCCCCCATCCCCTGACTTCCAACGCATTCAATATATATGGCTTAAACACTACACCTTACTGTGCCCTCACACTTCCCCATATGTACCACGCCTGTTTGCGTTCACGCAAACCCTTAGAAAACAAAACCCTTAGAAAACAATCCCATGGCCAACCAAAACTCAGCACTGCTTTTTTAAAAAAGGGGTGGGGGGGGGAAGTAACACGATGTCACTTGCGGTGCAGAGCATCTGGGAGGAGCCCAGTTGCAGAAAAGCCGCTTCAGAGCCCAAAAGGGTCAAATCAGCACATGCCCAGAAACAAATTGCCAGCACTTGTCCATCTTGACGCACCGACAAAAGATATGCATGTCTCACTGGCAGAGAGGAGAGGCATGAGGGTGTTTCCAGCCCTGCCATCAACGTGGAGTGCAGCAGAGTGTCCTGGTGTCAAACTGGGCTTGTGGGGAGAAACAAGCAGGCAAGCAGGTTTTTTCAGTGGGTGGGCCCGGACATATGAGCTGAATGCAACCGTGCACTGGGCTAAGGGGAAGTTTGCCAATCATACATTATCTCAGAGACTTTACGTTCAAATTCTAGTCCGGCTATTATGCTTTCTCCCCTCCTGCTGTTCTCATGCTTCAGCATGACAGATTTTAAATGGCATGCAGATTGGATACCACTCTTGTTATTTTAGATTAATACATTTGAAACAGCAACACGTTTTCATGACTCAATGATTTTGGAAAGAATAACAGAGGTGCCAGCACTGACCTGCTCGAAATCTCAATGTTGTGCTTGTTTGGCTGGGCAGGGAAACAACTGGCAGGGCTGTATGAAAAAGCTGCTTCTGTACAGCATAGAATGGAACACTGGCCAAATTAAGGGGAAAACATGTCGGGGAACTTCCTTGGTGCCTTTTTAGCAGTGGCAGGCCAGGCCTGCACTCCAACTCATCCCTCTCTAGCTCTCTGGAAACTCTCTCAGGTCCCATGGCTTGAATTAAGAGCGAGGATAAGCCTAGGGTCAGCCTGTCTCCCTAGCCCAGGCCAAGGTATTCAGGATTCTGCTGACACATGTATTATTTTTAAATGGTGGTGGGTGGTAGTCTGAGGTGGACCTCTTTAGGGAAGGTATGCTGCAAACTGGGGCCACTCCAGAAAAGGCCTGCACATGTCTAGCCAGATGCTCAATTTCAAGTCAGGGTTTGGGTGCTAAATGATGATCTCGGGGCATGGCAGGACTGCATGGAAAGATGCAGTCCCTCTATGGCACCGGGGGTGGGGGGCAATATGCAAACCATGGGCTGTATGCGTGTGCCCAGCATCTTCTATAGCCCTCATGAAGCCAAATCAGCACGGGGTGGGGGAAACTACATTTTCACTTTCTGAATTTGGGTTAATACAAATTTGCACTTCTGGTGTCTTTCAAGAATACAATTAGTGCATTTCTAAACTACCCAACAGAAGACGTTCTCTGGGTGATTATACAATCAGACAAGACATGTGCTCACTGCATGCTTTGTTTAAGGGGGAAAAGGCTGGCTCTTGCTCTTGTCAAATTTGGCAGTAATGATCTCAGTGGGAAAAGGGGGTTGGGGGAGGGGGTGGTACTGTTTGCCGTGGATTCTGGGGACAGCAGATGAGTCCCTGCCTGGACCCTAGAAGTTACCTGCACTTGTTCCATGGCCTAGATGCCCATGGGTGCTAAGAACCCAGAAAGCACCCCTAACCCCTGCCCCGTTTAGGGCTGTTTCTTTTCCTGGAAGTTGTTACAAGAAGAGAGCACAAGGGTGGCTGGCTTGCCGGAGCTCCTCCTCGACTCGTTCACTTCATGCCTTCTACCCCTGAGCAACATGTTCTTCTAGTGTAGCCTTCTCCAACCTGGCCTTCTCCAGATGTGCTGGGCTACACATCTGGAGGATGCTAGGCTGGGGAAGGCTGTTCATGACTACTTTGTGTTGTTCTTTGGTTCTGCTGCTTTGTTGCATATCAAAGCGTAATTAAAATGCTTGGCAAAGACCGAGGTCTGTACTTGTGGTTTAATTATTTAATAAATCATGGGTGATCAGGGGTGTAAAGTGCAGTTATCATAAAGTACTAGGGGAACAACCCTGTTTTGTTTGGTAATGCAAGTGGCAAGCCAGTTTATTCCAGTGCTGCTAACATAGTTAAGGAAACAAAGCCACAGTAACCTTCCTGGTGGAGGACATGGCGGGCCTTAACTTGAGTTGGCCCTTATATTAATGTATCTTCTCTATCACTGGGTAAATGGGTCAGTCCAGGATTGAAAGTTCCCAGAATCAGGAAGCACAGGTGACAAAATGGAAATTAATGAAGTTCAGCAGAAAAGGAGGGTGCTTTTGCAAAGACTTTTATCAGCCAGGAAAAGCAACGCACATATGCAGATAAGCATGCAATTGCGTGCATGCGCACATACAAACACACACAGAGAAAAGTATCCGTTTTGAAGGATACCTGAGCTGCAGTTTCTATAGTGGATTGAAATGGCAAAATTAAGTAAGCTAGCATTACTTTTACTATTATCATTGCATTGCAGTTATACCCCACCTTTCCTTCTCTTGCAAGGAACTCAAGGCAGATTACAAGATTCTCCTCTTCTCCATTTGATCCTCACAACAGCCCTGTGAGGTAGGCTGGGCTGAGAGTCCATGACTGGTCCAAAGTCACCCAGTGAACCGCATGGCTGAGTGACCACTAGAATTTGAATCTCCTAAGTCCCAATCCAGTATTCCAAGCACTACGCCACTCTGAAACTAAAACATAAACTGAATCCACACACCCCCCCCCCAGTAGTGGGGGTTCCCTAGTAACCTAGGAAGGGAGAATTTGCTTTTTCCTGTAGCATATGTGATGCAGGATATTCATATATGCTGTTACCCACTTATTCTTGGAGTTTGGCTCACTTGCTTGCCTTAGTTTTAACCAGGGATAGGAAGATCAGGCTAGGATTTGGCTCTCTCGATGTTTTCTCCTGTTTGGCCTTGGCCAGGAAGTGAGCTAAGACTCGGGAACGCTAAGCAGCTTCTTTGTGCAGTTGCTTGCAGCACATGGTGCTCTAATGCCTTTCTTTTGGGTTTCTTTTAATAGCAAACACAGAAGTCAACTAGCTCAGCATTCATTTTTTGTAGCAGGGAATTCTGGGACCTGTAGTTCTGCAAGGCAGGAGCCAGGAAACACAAAGTGTGGCCTCAGTACCTCCAGCAAAGAACAACCCCCAAGATCCTGTTGAGGGAAGACGCAATGTTGGAAGAAGTACAACACTGATACAAGTTCAAGGCCTGCCATAGCCATGACTCCACACAAAGCTATTTCATCACAACCATGCACACAATTCGCACATCTGCAAATCTGGGGATAATATTGTGGACCTGCCTTGCCAAGTTGCTATATTAACACGATATGGTGCAATCCTACATCTGTCTAGGCAGGAAAAGTCCTACAGTTCCCAGCATCCCGCAGGCAAAGCTAGTACTACCTAAAAGTTAACTAGTTGAAATAAATGAGTCTGAAGGAGCTTGATTAGCTTAACAAACGCCATTTGCTTTTTGTAAAACTGCTTGCTTTAGAGAGGAAAAAGGGAAGGCAAAAGAATGGTCATAAAGAAAGACCAAGAGGTAGTGTGAAGAAGAAGACCCCCCACGCAAAGCAAGGCAAGGCCTGGCCCGCAGTGATCGCGCTCCCCCTGTGAGGGGATTGGGCGTAGATTAGCGCCAGCACGAGGCCAGGCATGCAGGGGACATGCAGGCCCCGCAAGGGGATTGGCTGAAGGGCCAGGCGACCCTGGGAGGGGATTGGGTGCGGGAACAATGGGGGCGGGATTAAGTGGGAAGAGAGAGGGGAAGGAGGAACGTGTGTGTGGCGCTGCCTGCCTGCGTGCAGGGAGCGGCGCCCGCTGGCTTTGCTCAGCCGAATAAAGATACTGAACGCATCTCCGCCTGACTGGACCTCATTGGCACTTGGTTTAGTGGGTCTGTAAGTCACCTGGCTAGCAGGGACATCAACAAGACTTCAGTTACTTATGTCTAACTAAAACCTCATTCACTTCAATGGGTTTCCTCTGTGTAGGACTTATATTGGATACTACTGTAGGATTTCAATCCTGGCCATGTCAGGCAGGAGGGCATGTGCTCTCCTGGGTTCTTTTAGCAGCCCCACCTGGCCTTCAGCAGCACTGCAAAAAGGCCCTTGCAAAGCGTCGCTCATGGTTGGCCGCTGAATTTTGCCGGTGCAACAGCAAAATGGACCTCTTTCGAAGTAAAATAGCTGTTTCGCCTCCCCTCCCACCAATATTCCACATCAAGCCTGCCATTTTCCCTGCAAGACTTGCTTTCCACAGCTGAATTTAGTGGGTTGCAGGAGTGGGGGGGGGGCAGAGGTATGGCCCCTCCACCTGGATCTGGGTTGACACAGAAGCCTCCCAACCCCAGAGGTTTGCTCACCACTGCTCTAAAAAACTGTAATGTGTGTTATGGTCATCAGCTCAAGCAGGCAATTAGCACCAACTGATATTTATTTCATATTTGTCCTGCCCAAGAGCCAAAGCTGATATGAAGCTTTGTGGATCGTTACTTGAAAATGCCCCCATGCAGAGATCCCTGAAGCTCTTCTGGAGGCAGGCAGGAAACGCTGGAGGGGAGGGGAAGAAACAGGATCCACTGGCCCAGTCCTCACTTATCTCTGCTATTCCTCTTATCTTGCTCCCTTTAGCAGGCGATGCCCCCCCCCAACCCAGCCCTGAGGGCCATTAGCTGTGTAAAGCAGCAGGATGGGATAGGATAAGTGGAGATAGCAGCAGCCCCTGCTTCCTGGGGGAGGGGGTTGCCTCCCACCCCATCCAGACTTCTCTGCTTGCTGCTTCAGGGTCCTCTGCACTCACAACCAGACTTTTCCGTGCCCACATGTGCAGAGTTCAAAGAACGTAACAGGCGGCCAAGCTCTTGGGGCTTTGCCTCAATGCACCTGTTCCATTCCGCCCAAGAGTGTGAGGTGCCCCCAAATAAGCTGATGAGCCAAACTGGTGGGAATATGGAAGATGGACTCCCCTTCTTCAAAAAGCCCAGTGCAAAGCAGAGCCGGGGAACTTGCTCTGAATTTGGACCCGGCTTGTTTGGGGCCTGGCACTGCCACCACCAGCCCTCCCTCTAGGTCTTGCTTCTGTCTTCTGGCCTTCCCTGGTGGGGACTAGAATGCTGCAAGAGCAAGCCCAGGGAAGCAGAGTTCTCTACGTGGACGAGTCCAAGGGAACTAAGCTGCCATTTCCAGGCCCTCTTGGCCTGGGGAACTTCCCGAAACCGGGCTGAACTCACCTGGGGCCTCCAGAGAACTTGCTGCTGGTGGTGGTACCTTGCCACTGCTGCTGGTGCAACCTCGCCACAGCCACTACACAGTGAATGGCAGGGAGGGGAGTTCTCGAACAAATCCTGGTGGAGGGGGAGCTGAGGGAGGGAAAATGTTCAACCTCTCTCATACCCCCAGCTGACATCCATCAATGTCTGGGTTTCCCAGTTCTAAACCAAGAACCCGAAAAGAGTTGGCTAGATCCAACCAAGGGGCCATCTAGGCCAGCACTCTTCACTCAGTGGCCACAGGAAAGCCACAAGCAGCACCTGAGTGCAACAGCATCCCCACCCCACTCCCATCCAAGTTCCCCAGCAACTGGTGTGCACAAGTGTGCCTTGACCTTGGAGGGGCATGAAGCCCGCAGGGTTTGTAGCAATGGATGCGAGGGTAGGGTTAGGCTGGGGTGGCGCATCATCATGCAGATTAAATCCTGAAAGTTAAAGGCCTTGGACACAGACCTTTCAAACTGGAACATGGTTGTGCTTGTCATAGCTGCGAAGGGCTACTTGTGAATGCAAGGCACACTGCTGAGTCTTTGGCTTCTGTGAATTTTCACTGCAGGTGTGGGAAGGAGAGTGCTGGTGTAAACGTGAGTTATGTTTGCTTACCATAGTAAATACGATTGCACCCAGCACAGCATAAATGGCCTGGAGCCACGGCACCTATGGGGGAAGAGAGAGAGATGGGTCAGCCAAATCAGGGAGGAGGACAGAAACAGTGCAGCCCTCCTGGGAAGGTGAATGGACAGCTGTCTGTAGAGGCCAAAGGAACAGGTAGGCGCAAGTGACCCAAAGTTAGCAATGCTTCTGAAGTGGGGAAAAGAAGTATCAGGAAGAGACAAGTTGCTTATGTTGTTCTCAGTAGGGGTGGGAGGATCGGTGATCTGTACGCTCATTTAATCACTCCGAAGCTCCTTTTGGCTTGCACCTTTTTCATTTCTGACTTGCATTTCTGTTCATTCAAAAGGGATACGTCCATATTCTTGTAAATGTCTACTGTGCACTGTGGAAAAGCCTATTTCTGGGGGAAGTGTGCAAAATAGGCCTTTTAAAGGTAAATGCAAAATTTTGAGCTTTCCTTGAAAAAAGTGCTCCTCTTCACATATGTCTTTAAATGGGGCATGTTCACTCAATTTTCAAACAGAAGCAAAATTCTCCTATTTCCCTGGCCCTCGTCTCATTTGACTCTCTTCCAGCCATCACAGGCTATTGACCAAGTGTCACTTGCCAATAGAAAGGTGATGCTGAACCTGATCTTGGGTAACTGAAAATTAAGTAAGGCTGCTTTTAGATCAAGAACTCCTGGTGTATGTTTGGCAGGTGGGAGGCAAAAGCTGATGGGGAACTGAGAAGGACTGTGTCTTTATTTGCTTTGATTTAAATGACTTCTTGAAGGATGGGGTAAGGGGGGGTTAAGAATAAGGGACACTTGTTAAACTCACCCCACTCCATGTCTATAATACTGTTAAATTGACTTCTGCCTTGGGCAACTGGATCCCTAATTATCACAAGCTGAGAAAAGTGAGGTTACACTGGCAGCTCAAGGTAAGAGCTCACTCCACGGAGAAACTTTGCACTGTTCTGCTTGTGCGGGACCATTCACACATGCTGGTCACAGCAGTAGGAGGAGTGTGCATGTGTGAGCAGCCCTGAGAAAGATTCCAAGCTGCCCCTCTTCTCATCACGCGACGGTTTTAGATTTCCTTGTTGTTCGATTGGCACCTAATAATTCAGTGTGGGCTGATCCAATTGCTATGCCCTCAGCTGTGGGCCTGATTTCATAGGCAGGGCCAGCCCTACCATTAGACAGAGTGAAGCTGGGGGCAGATAGTGGGAGCCTGCCGCAAGGGGCTGGAGGAAAGACCTGTGTGTGTGGTGCCACCTGCTGTGCATTTCCTAAGCCAGCCAGACGCCCTCAAGGGGAATGGAGGATGTGGCCCCATCGCCACATACGAGATTCTGGCCAGTGGCATCAACAAGAGCTTAATTATTAGTTGCAGCTGCCAGTCCACTTGGCTTTTGTATATGGAATGGGAGGTGGCACCCTTGCCTTTCGCTTCCGGCAGCAGCATGGCCTGGGCTGCCCCTGCTGATCTGAGTTCATCGCCATCAACGGTGTAATGCCAAGATGGGCTATGGCACCGCAAAGCAGAGCAGAAGAATGTGCTGCCTACATGGCACTTCAGAAGTCATCCTGTTCCAGCATTTACGGAGGCCTTTTTCACCTTCCAAGTCCTGGCCCCCCCACCCAGCAGGCCGTGAGAAGCACAAGTGAGAAAGTCAGCTCCATTCCATTGCTTTCTGAGATGCCAGCCCTCTTCCAGCCTGAAGGGCGTATTCCATTGCAGAGAAGCTCTCTGGGGGATGCATTCCAGCAGTGAGCAGGCAAGACAAAATCCCAGAGGCGCTAGCATATTTTAGCTCAAGGCTTTTGCTGCCTTAGGAGAGGTGCTGCGGCCTTTTTTGGCTTGGGAGGGCAGGGAACAGTGCAAACACTGGGAAGCCACTAAATGCCCAGCAATTAAGGAAAGGACTGCAGCCATCTGGTAAACTTCAGATGGAGGGATGGGCTCCTTTGGTGGGCCGGACTTGGACTGTAGGGCTGAGGTTTGACACTCCTGCTTTACTGGTCGCCGAGTTTCTCCTGCCATTCACTCCGTTCTTCCTGAACCCTGATTTAACTAGGCAAAAGCCAAGCTGAGAGCCAGTGTGGGGTAGTGGTTAAGACTGGGACTCAGGCCATGTGGGTTCTAGTCCCTGCTCAGCCATGGAGCCCACTGGGTGGCTTTGGGCCAGTCCCAGACTCTCAGCCTAACCTGCCTCACTGGACTGTTGTTATGGGGATAAGACTGAGAGCAGGAGAATAAAGTAAATAAGTAAAGAACTTTGAGTTCTTTAAAAAAGAAATGGCAGCCTATAAATCTAATAAATAAATAAATAAAATGACTCTGCAATTGGAAATGCACTATTTCCCTTAGTTTGGTGATGTCGTCTCTACCCATCCCTCCCTGCAGGTGGAATCCCAGTGCATTGACAAAATACTGAAAGAAACAAAACAACCGCAACACCCCAGTCTTGTTGTAATTGCATATCACTGTATCCAGACTCTTGTTGCAAGGATGTGCGCAATCAGATCAGGATGCAATTTGCTCTGTTTTGGTTTTTTACGCTTTTCCTTTTGGCACTTATATGCGTTGGTAACGTGGATGGGTGGTGGTGGGCAGATCCAAATGAATGGAAAGCTAGGACAAATGGAGCTTGCACAGCAGTCTGTACAAAAGTCATATTAAAGAAAAGAGCGACATAGACATAAATTATATTAGAAATTACAGAGTGTATAATTTATTGGCAGTCTCTAAGCATTAAAGAATTGGCAATCTGAGGTTTTGCCCTGAAGTCATGTGGCCCAGATGTTTCCTGAGGACTGTAGGTTGCTGTACAGGAGATCCTTAGATGCTCCTTAAAATAAAGTTGTATTTTAAGTTACTCCTCACTTCTTTAGCCTGTTCTGCACCCAGAAACATTACATAGTGTCAAATAGAGAATACTTTGCACTATTTCCACTTCGGAAACAAGAGCATTTCTTTTGAAAATCCAAACTTTAGGAAGAAATGGGAACAAGGAGACATATGGAAGCAATATAATGTTTTGGTGGAATCCAGTTCCTTGGCATTCTAGGAAGAAACAACTCCGCGCAGGGACAGGAGAATCAGCAGGGTTTGGAGTTCTCTGATTTCCACTTCAAAAGACAGTTCATCTTGTTCCCATTTCTGAACAGGAGTCTTTTTTTCAAATAGGAAAGGTGTGAATTTGGGTGCACTTTTAAAAAAAGCATACTTCCCTCCCTTGAGTATTTTTGTAACTAAAAATAAAATGGGTGTTGGGGAAAAAAAGGACATTTTTAAAGTAAATGCATTGTTCAAATGAGCTCATAGGACAGGAATATGCAAGCTTTGGGCAAGAAATGAATCCCTGTTGCACTGGCATCTGAATGCAGCTAATTCTCCTGCCTCAGGAACTGAAATGAAATTTTTGCATATCCCTGTCTGTAGGTCCCTTGAGGAGCAATTGAAAGAGCTGAGTTCCTTTGGCCAGCAGAAGAGAAGAGTCATGATATCCATCTTTGAATATCTGAAGTTATTCCAAAGGCCAGAAGTTGAACCAATGGAAGAACACTGCAGGTAAGAAGATGTTGGCTTAATTTTAGAATAGCTCTCCTGTTGGTAAGCGCAGACCAGGAGATGATGGGCAGGCTGTCCTTCACTGGAAGTAATTGTGCAGGGCTTGGATAGCCTTCTATCAAGGATGCTGTGGCTGCATCCTGTACTATAGATCTTGCACTGAGCAGGGGGCTGGATTGGAGGACCTCCAAGGTCCCTTCCAGTGCTGAAATGCCATTATTCTTGCTCTAGTGAGATGTTTGCCATTCCTTTTCAGCAGGAAAACAAGCTAATTATTTCTGCCTGCAGAATTGAGCTGGTGGCTGAAGGGGAAAGGAAGGATAAACCCTGGGCATTTATTTTGGTCTTTTCTGTTGGAAGCAGTGTGTGAATGTCTATGTGTGTGTGTGGCGGGGTGGGAGCCTGATTTTCTTGGTTTAGTATAATGAGACAATTCAGGGACACCACCAAATTCACCTTGGACCTGGATACCTTCAAAAATTCAGCAGCGTTGCTCTCCCTCCCTTGCTCTTGTTAATATTTAAGATAAGTGTATGACAGGAATGTGCTACACATTTCTTACACAACTCGATAACATCTTGCTAGTACATTATTGGTCCCAGTGAAGATGATGGGAGCACGTATTCACCTAGGTCAGATTCTGAACACCTAGCTCTCTTTATGCTCACTCCACTGGCTCAAAAAGGAATTACACAGGCATTATGGGTCCAGCTTTGTGTTAATTGCTGGGGATATATATGGAGTTAGCAAAGACCTACATGGATCATGTAGGATCTGGATCTGGCCACTGGCAACAAGTGGGAGATCACATTGATGAACTTCCCACCACCACCACCTACCCACCCACTTTTATAACATTTCTGGCACACAGAACATTAACTATCTAGCTGAAGGGAAGTGCTTTCCACAACATGCTAGTTTCTTGTCTCTCTCTTCTCCATGTAGAAAATATTCAGGCATGCAATTGTTCACTATGTGATCTACCAAAATGAAAATATTGACAAAATGGCAAAGCAAATTAAAGCAAAGCAAAAGGAGCTTATTCTTATAATATAAGGCATGGATAGAGCATTTACAAGAGCTGAGCAAGGCTGGCATAGATGGGCCATTTTGGAGGGCTTTCAACTCATAGGGTTACCATAAGTCAGAGGGGACGTCATGGCACATAACAACAGCAACATGGATGGGGAATGTGAGGCTCTCCAGAGGTTGACGGACTACAGCTCTCACCATGCCTAAGCGTTGGCTGTGCTGATAGAACCATATCTGGAGGACTACATGCATTCCACCCTGATATACAGCAGAGGCTCAAAGTAGTGGTCAAGATGGTTGCAATCACTGCACTGCAGAGGAGGTAGAATGCCCCATAAAAGAAGCCCTTCCTATCTATTATGCCCAACATATTGTAAACGGACTTTCCTTCATCAGGGGCCACCTATATTTCTCCAAGTCTTAAAATGCTTGTGCAATGGAGAAAGATAAGTGGCTTCTGAGGAAGGGTAGTCCTTTCTGAAATGAGCTGAGCACAATCAAAGTCTTTTTCTGGAACCTGTGCATACTTTTTCCTCTGTTTTGGGACTCATAAGTGGCTGCCCCTCTTGCTGCTTCCTGAAATATCAGGACCCAAACCAAGAAGATCCAGCAAGGGTCTTCAGGCTGCTCAGCAACCTGGATGGCAGGTCACGTTTGGTGAGATATATTGTATGGCTACTTGAATGACAGTCCTGACTTCTGTGTTTGCATCTAGGTCTCAGTATACATGAATGTCATGCAAATCGCTGCCCTCTTTTGTTTTCCTTCTTGGCGGTATGTGCCTAAGTAACCACCCAAGCTGGGGAGAAGAGCTGATTGGTGGCTAGCTTCGTATATGGATGCAAAGGGCCTGGTTAATGCACCTCTTCAATATGGGTTGCCCGTGAACTTCAGCCCTTGGCATCTATTACTTTCTCACTGAACAGAGTCATACTACACTCTTGGTAGGGGGCAGGGGGAATGGGATTATCAGCGAGAATATTGAGACCTCAGCAGTTCTGAAAAGGAGGCTGATTGTGTGCATGCCAGAAGTACCCCCCCCCACACACACACACATACACTGTTCAGATGTCTTCACCGTGTGAATGCCTTTGAGATGATAATATGCATTCCAAGTTGACTCTGTAAGGGCGTGAATCAAAGGCCAAGGTGTTCTTTTGATAATCAGGTGCTCAGAACGTCTCTGGACAAAGTGAACAAGCCAAGTTCACAGTGACTGATGGGCACCTCCCACACAGGCTAACTTGGCCTGATTTATTGACATTTCCTAGTATTAGCAGCGTCCGGGTGATAAAAGCTTGCGGAATGCAATTTCCGTGGTAAGGAATCAGGTGCTGAGAGATCCCAACCTCTTTATCTTCGTTTTGATTTCTCCCACTCCCTGCAGCAATCAAGGCAATCAATGCTCACCTCACGAACAACCAACCAGTCAACACGACCCAGTGCCAAAGTTTTCAAGTGTAGGAAGGAGCAAAGGGGGGGAAACAGGGGCAGCAGTACAGCAAAAGAAACTGAGATAAGGATTTAGGAAGTTGCAGGAGGAGCATGTTCATGAAAGGCAGCACTGAGACTATAAATGGAAGAGTATCAGCCATGGAAAATCTGGCTCATTTAAGTTTGATGGATTCCCTGCACACTTCCAGTCTGATGGTTTTAAAAAGTACATGTCCAAGAGACAGAACTTAAAAAAAGCCTCTCAACTTGACCCATTTCCCACAAAAAAGAAGAAGTTTGCATAAATCATGCAATTTGCACAGTTTGCACAAAACTGGATACAATGTCATTCTAGCATGATTGTTGCAGTTGCGAAACAAAAAACCACATAATCCGTGCAATTGTGCTGGAATCAGGTTATTTTTGGTTTCCAATTTCATGCAACTTTCCTCAGGTTTTCTTTAAGGCACATATTGTGACCCATCTTAGCTATGGATGTCCATGAGTGGACTCAACTCACGCTATAGCAAGTCAACCCAAGCCTGGGCTGAAGAGCAAGAATCTGGGGGGCAAATTGTGAAATTCCTTCGGATTTTCAACCCACCAAATTCCAAATACTTAAGCTAATTAGTAGCTAATATGATTCTACATGCTGCAGGAGAAAAGATGAGCAGGCAGGACTAGGACTGGGTGAAAAATACATTTCAGTTCATTTTTCAAGATAATTTGTCAAACGTACGTGTCCTGAAACTGAACACACACCTGAATGCAATCTGTAGTTTGATGTCCAGGAAAGGCCAGTCTTTCCTGGAAGGTCTTGGCCACTTGATCATGAGCCTCAGAAATGGAATTCCCTAATGCATTAAGAAAATGGCGGTGGAGGTGGTGGAACCTGTGGATCTTCAGTTATTGTTGGACTCCAATTCCAGTGGGAATATGAAGCAACACAATCTGGTTATAACCCTGAGACTAAGTAGACTGGTGGCCAACCTACATGTGATACAAATTGCATCTTTATGCAACACTTCCCCCGGAGGAGATTTGGAGGGTGCATGGACAGGAGGGGTGCGGGGCAGTGGAGAGAAGGCACCAAATTCCTGTCCCGCAAGTGGCAGCTTCTACATGCAGTATCACAATACTGGATTCCACCCAGTGATTCAGCACACTGGGACGACTGTCAAGGGACTCTCAGTTGGCATCCCTGGAACAGAACGTGGTCCCTGCTGATGGTTCTTGTCACTGCTTTCCAGCTGCCTGAGAACAATGACAAGCATGATGCATTTCTCTTTGTTGCAGCCCTTCTATGTCAGGGAGCAACTCTTTATAGAACTAGGTTTTTTGGGTGTGGGACTCCCTAAGTTTCTAAATTCTAGAAAAGTCTTCCTCATCCATCAACTAAAACCCGGATAGTGAACAGGGCTATGTTGTGCTGTTACTCTGAGAAGGAGAGAGAAAGCCCTTGGGATTGCTCACATGTTTGCTCCCTCTCAGAGTCTGACTGGGAGCCATATTTTATGTCAAGAAGAATGCTTCTACCTTGCAGAAGTTGACCACCTTCCTCTCCCTCAAGGAAGTGGCCTGGCTCACGTAGAGCTCTTTGCTCTCCAGGCACCTTTGCTTTCTGCAGCAAACCTACAGTCTGTTTTGCTCAGAAGTCTGGGATGTGAAGGTGGAACAGCGATGGTGGGGAGCTGGTGGAATGCAGAAGGGTGACTAAGACGGCCTCTTGACTTCCATTTTAACTCTGTGACTGGACAGCACAGTCAAGGATTCACACAGCCTTGGGCTCCACATCTCAGTGCCTGTGCAATGGGTCTGGAGAAACTGCACATGGAAGGTTGGGTGCCATGGTTCTGATACTGTTGGCTGAGACAAGATGAGACTTACGTATTTGAACGGAAGCATGATGGCCAGGATGATTCCACTGAAGAACAGCACCATCAGCATCACAAAGAGCACGCCCTGGCACGAGGTGAAGTCATACTGTGGGAGAAAGCAAGAGACCATCATGGTGTCTGTGGCACTGAGTGGATGCATCCTCAAGCTTCCAGTGTAATATACAAACACAGTGGCGAGCAGGCATTTGCTGGTTAGCCCAGGATGCCAAGTTGAACTCATTCTTCTCCTGTTATAACTCCCACCAAAAATTCACTGGACTTACACTGTGGGAAGCACAGGGCTGTAACCAGCATTAAAGTTCAGGGGGGGCACCAAAAGAGTAGGGCACCATTTCATCTGATTTGTAGGTCTTTTAAAGAAAACATTGTGAATGGATGTTTAATTATTTGCCTGCAAAACAGACATTGGAGGGCATCGAAATTAGGCAGCCCCTCCCCACCCCCAGTCCCTCTCTGGCTACAGGCTCACAGAGACACACTACTATACAAGCTCTGCATTGCATCCTGATTTAACTTTGAACCCCCCCCCCATACTATAAATAGCAACATAATGGGTGGGGGGAAATTCAGAAAAAGTCTCACCCCTCCACGGTTGTCTGAACTCAGTCCCTTCTGAATGCCAGCCTAACTCATAGGGGTGTTTGCCCCGTGCTGTGTCTGCCTACAGAAAACTTTTGACTCAACATGGTGTGTGTGTGTAGGGGGGGGGGGGGCAAAGATTCTTCAGATCACCCAGAAGCCTTCCAGAACAATGCTAGATCATCACATAGTGTTGTTCTTGGAGGGTTTCTGGGTAATAAAAAAAAGATGGTCACAAACAGCTGCGGGGCCTGTGGAAATTGCCGCTGACAGTAAATTCCTAATTTTGCCCTCTGTCTGAAACTTCGCCAGAATGACCCTGCCAAGTCAGCTGAGGGAGGAACCGCCCTGCTGGCTTGACATTATCTGATCTGGCATTCCTAAGTTACTGGGACGGTGGGTGATGCAATTTAACTAATGCGATAAAATATGCAGGCATGCATATGCATCCAGAAGGAGGATGATCAGAACTTGTGGAGGCAACCAGGTATATATTTTTCCATGTAGCCTGAAGTGCCTGCTCCTGCCTAATCCTGGAAGCTAAGCAGGATTAGGCCTGGTTGAAATCTGGATGGGTGACTTAAGTGTTGCAAACCACCCATTTTGCTTTGACTATGGGCAGTATAGAAATGTCTGTTCGTTTTTTCACAGGTAGAAGATGTTTTGAAAAAGCCTGCCCCTTCTGTGACCGTAAACAATTCTACTGAAACAATGTTCTCATGGCACCTTTTTTAAACTCTGTAAACCAGCTTGAGACCTCCAAATAAATGAGTCATAAATAAAGGGGTGGGGGGGATCAGCCCTGCTAAGATGCCTTTACTCACCTTGGTCTGGAAACTGAATATGGTGACAGAGAGACACACCAGGGCAGTGATCCCCAGGCAGAGAAGGACTGACTTGGTGTTGTAGTAGCTGCACAAGGAAGAAGGGAATGAAACAGCAGTTCTGATTACCAAGCCAAACAAATGAGCAGAAGAAAGAGCAGAGAAAAGTCTGTTTAGAGTTCAGTCATTCACAGCTGGGGTGCTTTGGGGTACTCTGATGGGCCACCAGAGAAAAGCAAGTGTGCCACAAGAGGTACTTTCACTGCATCATTGAAGGCTTCTCTGGTGAGTCCCATGGAAACAGCTGCCCCAGACTTCCCTGCATGCTCCCCATTCACCGGGAGCTGGGAATGCTGCTCTGACTCGCAGCCGTTCTCCAGGATCTTGGGCAGAAAAGGGCCTTTCCATCACCTGTCACTGCATCCTTCTAGTGGGAGAGGCCAGCAATGGACCCTCCCTCCAGGTCCAATAAACTCTCCACTGATAGCATTTGAGCAAGTCAGTACAATATGTTCCTCCACAGGAGGGCCTAAAATCTACAAGGGCTGGAGAGGCTTCACTGCCATGCACCAGGCAGGATTGAATCCTTCATTAATTCCCTGTGCAGAGACACAGAATGACCTGCCTTTTTGGACCCTGCAAGTCCCAACTTTCTAAGTCCCCACAGGGGGGAAAGGATGGAAGAAGAAAGGTGTAGGAGATTTCTAGAATTTGCTACCGCAAGATGTGGTGGCAGTTTCCACAAGAGAGAAAACTGGGGGGGGGGGGGGGGGGGGAAAGCTGACCAGATGCACTGAACCCCACAGCATTTTGCTGCAAACCCCACTTGTTCTAAAATACTTTTATACTTTTTTTTTCTTTTTGACTTTTTCCACAATGTGGGATGAAAAACTGGGCAGAAGCTACAGGCTGAGATCTAACTGAATGAGTAGGATGATGCTTGCGTCACAAACCCCAGTCCTAAACATGTCACTGCAGAAGGAAATCCTCCCGATTTCAGTAGGGCTTGTGTCCAGATAAAATACGCTGAGGATTTGATGCCCGAATGTATATTTGCGTTCTGCACTTTTCATTTGCAACCCAACAAAAGCCTGCCACAAGGGCTGGAGTGCGTATGGCACTGCTTGGTTTCTTTGGACTTGCAGAATGAGGGATGGCTTTGTTTATTATTCCTCTTGCCACTTTCTCCCCTCTTTCTCCTTTTTGGTTCTTCTACTGCCACTGGCTGGCCAGTGGATGAACTGTGAAGATCCATGACGAGAAACAAAGGGAGAGTTGTGCAAGACCTGCAACACCAAGGGGCCTTTTCTCAGCTAGCTGCACCCTCCCTCGCAGTCTATGCCATTCACTTCCGCACAGATCTGGAATTGCAGCCACTCGGAACTCTTGGCCTACCCTTAGTAGCCAAACTAAGCCAGATCTGGAAGAACTGTCCTGCTCGTACCTCTGTCCCGCTCACTCAGTAGAGCAGAAAGATCAGGTTGCAGTCACCATGCTGAAAATTACTTATTCATTTATTTATAAGCCGCTAAGTAGTCCAAAAAGACCATAAGCCACCAAGTACTCCAAGATTATGTTCATCTACAATCATAATCTTTTCATCTACACAGATATGTTATATGGGTTCTAGCATCAAGCATCCTGAAAATTTAAGTTTGCTTTTATAAAAGTGGCCAAGATTCTAGTCCCTATGGCTATAGAAACAAGCTTGATAAGGTGTGCACAGTGCCTCTTTCAGATATCAGAAACCTCTCCTTGCATGGGGAACATGGGTAGGAGGGGCTGTTGCACTCCTGTCCTGCTTGAGGGAGGCTGCAACTAGCTGGCTGGCACAGTGTGAACAGAAGGCTGGCCTAGACCCCTCTTGGTCTGATTCAGCCCAGCTCTTCTTATATCCTTATGGAAGCTCCATTGCATCCAGTAGGATCTATTCCCAAGCAAGCAGGTATAGCAGTAACTTTGATAACATGAATTGCAATTTGCAGCAGTAGTTTAAAGCGATAAAAGTTCACAGAAAAAAACTGAATGTTAGTACAAGGCAATATTTAAAATTAATCTGAAATGTGATTAATCTTATATCTTCCAACTTGCCATCTCTACAATACATGCCTATACTGTGGATTAAAATGTGAATTTAATAAGCAAATAAATATAAAATTTTGGTATTCGGGGATTCATTCTGTAGTGACTCACTTGCTTTTTGTATCAGCTAGAACAGGATTCTGTTTTGGAAGGAAACTGGCTATCTTGGGTGCTGCACAGGGATTTCACCTCTGCCTGTGATGTCCACACATGCTCTTGTAATGATTTTCAAAGAATGTCAATTCTTTTTAGTCTGATTCTAATTCAATTCAAGGTGCAGCTAGATGGCCAGCTGAGAGGGATGGTTTAAGTGGGAGTCTTGCACTGAGCAGGGGATGGGACTCGATGGCCTTCTGGTCTGTTCCAACTCCACTATTCTAGGATTCTATGATTCTATTGTTTTCCTTCCCTCAGATGAAAAAAAAATATTAGTAGGAAATAAGGCATTCATTTGTGTGTATGTTTCTTACGTCAATACCACTATATGCCAGCTAAATTAAATAGAAGTTATCGTTCTCCAAGTAATTGTCTGAGATACGATGCAAATTATATCAGATTTTTCCATATCTGTCAAAAGTGTGTTACAATCCAAACCTATTGGGAAAAGGTGCTTGTTAATATTTTGTTACTGATTTCCTTAATTACCAGAAATGTTTGTTTTAAACTGGCCTGAAGTGGGAGATGTTGGAAAATTAGAAGGCATAAGCGTCAGTGCATCTAGAAATTAAGATATATCTTTTGAATTTATTTTAAAGGAACAGGCTTGGACTATCAGATGACAAATCAGGGAAGAATTATGAGAAGGAGATATACCAAGGAATCTTTTTTGCTCCTACCTAGAGAGTCACCTACCTAGAGAGCATCCCGGTCAGATAGGCCATGGAAAGAGTCTGTGGAGAGAAAGATACCATTACTTCTAAAGTTAGAGCCACAGGCCAAGAAAAGGATGTATCTTATTTTCTCTGGATGCTGTATCTTATTTATTTATTTTGTTGTATTGCCGCCCTGAGGCACAGTGTAGGGCGGGATATAAACGATATAAGTAAATCAAGAAATTAGCCACAAGCAGTCTTATGGTATTTCTTTGGCTTTATCCCAGACAGGCACACACAACCAATGTGGAAACAGCAGGCTAGTCCTGGATTGTGGTCCACTGCGTCTAATAAACCGTTTTTTAAAACCGCTTGTCTAAAATTGCAAAATGAGGGGAAGCCAAAGGACAGAATGTGTCGGACTAGTGGTCATCCTTAAAGGCAGGGGTGCTGTATTTGGATTTGGGGGTGACAAGCTATGCAGGGCTGCACCTGTCTCTGCAATACACAGAAGATTAAAGATTGGAACCAGCTTCTTTGTGCCCTTGGAAGAGAGATCATTGGTGGAATGGCATTTCTGCATCTTTTCCTCCTCACTGCACCCCCTGTACACCTTCCAGATCTGCTCTGGAAGGTCACGGGAGCTGTTCTATGGGTGCCACAAAGACGTCGGATCCAAACCATTTGGAACACAAAAGCAGTGGGCTGCCTTAAGTCCCGCACCTCCTCCTCTTTGCTTCTGTTCATTAAGGAATACAACCAATCGAGGCACAGGGCAGGATGCATCCCAAGCAGGGCAGCCTGTCACCAAGGTATGTGCTGCCCATGGTACGGCACCCCCACCACCCCGCCATTTCCTTGTTTCCTGGGGAAAGCAACTTATCTACAGTGGCCTTTTGGGATGCGAGTAATCCTGACGCTCAGTTTACAACAAGGCCCAGCATCGCGTGAATTTCAAAGGCAGTAGCCTGAAGTTGCAGAAATGGTGCCTGGAATACTGCAACCTGTTGCTTGTTTGCTCAGCTTTGCTCGGCTTGACTAGCGACACGTGGCAGGATGCGACAGACTGACTGGCTCCAGGAAGGGATGGGTGCCTCTTTGTGAAAGGGGATGGTCCCAGCTGGAAGGGCCACCGGCCAGAATAGTCAAATGAGGAAGCGCCCTTTCCCACACGAGCTGGAGAGTTGTAGCCGATGTGGTTGCAATCCCATCATGACGATGGTGGCAGCATGGATGGTAGAGGGCCAGTGTGGCATGATGTGTGGATCTGGGACTCAGACGACCTGGGTTCTAGTCCCCGCTCAGCCATGGAGCCAACTGGGCGACTCTGGGCCAGTCACAGACTCTCAGCCCAACCTACCTCACAGGGTTGTTGATGCAGGGATAAGAGTGAGTACGAGAGGAGGAGACTTATGTAGGTTGCTCTAAGTTCTTTAAAAGAAAAGGGTGGGATATATTTCTCATAAGCAGTTAAAATAACAGTCTTGCTAGGGATGAGTGAATCTGCTAAGCTTGATCTCACTCAAGTTCTCATTTATTCCTCCTGTTAAGTTTGTTACATCCTGTTTCCTCCTCAGGTTCTAAGTATTTTAACTTCTTCCTGAAAGTTCATATGTATTATTCTATACATTTTTCAAAGCATACCCATTTTGTATACATTTTTGAAACATACGCATTTATGTGTGCACTTTATAAAAATGTACACATTTTACAAGTATTCTTGTACACATTTTCCCAAAGCCATGTTTTATATGCACTGTTACAGTCTAGAAAGGTTTTGTGTGCTTTTTGTGTGTGCGCATTGCAAACTTTGGAAAAATACTGCATTTGATTTCTAGCTGGATTCCAGTTCATGTACAGGTACAGAAAGCGTGACTCTGGTAAGCTCGCACCGAAATGCAAACTGCATGGATTCCTCATCTATCCCTAGTCTTGCACATATGCACCTTCTTGCTCATATCTGTGTGTGCAAAGGAGAAGCCATCTCAAAAACCTCTAGCAAGACAAGGCTGTTCCCTATTCTCTGCCTCAGAGCTGTTGTGACTGGTCTGACCAGCTGCTGCACTTTGCATAGGCCTCTTGGCTGCGGGTGGTTAAAATTGCTCCTGCCTCCCAGATCAAAAAGCAGCAGGAGAGCAGGGCCACATGCCCCATTCCTGGTGGTAGGAGCAGGTCAGCAGCTTTGCAAGGATGCTGAAGACTCAGCAGGGCCACCTCGCTCAGCCTGGTGCCCCACAGATGTCTTGACCTACAAGCTCACTGGGGGATGCTGGGAGAGGTAGACCAATACTTCGGTCGAGCACCAGGGTGGAGAAGGGTGCTCTGGGGCTGACCCTTGCTTCTTGGACTATGAACGCATCGCCTTCCATGCAGCAGAGGACATGGCTCCCGTTCCTTTGGAATTTGTGAATGGAGAGGGGATTTCAGCAGATGCCGCTTTTGTGGCTGTGTGATAAGCTGTGTTACCAAAGCCCCCTCTTCTGGCGAGCCCTGCCCCCCTTTTGCATCTGGCCACCTCCAAGTGCTTCTGTCCCCACTGCAGGGTTACAACAAGTGTCTCAGCATGTTCTCCGGACCAGCCATGAATTTCTTTGTTCAGTCACTGGAACTGGACATTCCTGAGCCTCTTGGATTTTCAGCCCAGAGCGCCTCTCAAATTTCTCATCCTTTAAGCCCCAGTCACGGCACAGGTGTGCTACTTACAAAGATGCTGAGGAGGATCAGGTTCCATGGGAAGTACCTCCTGTGAATTAAGCGAAAGGGAGCCAAGTAAGCTTCATTACCCAAAGAGCACAATCATAATGAGAGAGAGGTTGCATAACATCATCTTGCATCAGAAGGTAATTAGAGAACAGCACGGCAGTTAGAGCAGTCGGGCAACCGTATGTCAAACTCAGCCAGCTATCGACGGTTCGTGAGTCACTCTGGTGTTGGGGCACAGACTTCTTTGGCACTGGCTTATCCTGAGATACAATTAGATCACCTTTTCCGTGGGCTTTTTAGGTCCTCCTTTCTGGTAGGCATAGGACTTGGCAGGAGACACATTTTCATGGTGGAGGGAGATGGTTAGTACCTTCTGATTGCTGTGGATGGAGGTGTCCCCAAAGGGACAGCTTAGATGCTGGCTGAAAAGCTAAAAACCCTAACTTAAGGGGTATCAGGAAATTAAAGTGCACTGGCACTTTCAAGCAGGAATTGGGTGAACAAGTGGCTTTGCTCCCGCTTCTTCTCCCCCACCCCTTCCTCTCCCTTTGAAGCCAACACAGGACTGCATCCAAGTAATTTCTGCATGGCGACGTGCCCCTGCGAGACACAGGAGCAAGAGAGGGAGTTCCCAGCCAACACAAAAGTGGAATGGAAGCTGGTGGGGCTCACTAGGCAGACTACACATGACGCTAATTAGGGCGGGCTTTTCCAGGTGTTTTTGACTTCACCTCCCAGCATTTCCAGCCAACATAGCTAATGATCAATAACAGTGGGGGCCAATGATCAATAACAAGGTGGACACCAGGTTGGGAGAAGCTGGAGCAGGCTAATGCTTGCATAGCAGATGCCACTGATGGAGGCTGCCTGCATGTCTTCTGTCTCTTTCCTTCTTTCTGAGCTTTTCTTTGTGAGGCTGCGAACCCCTGTACCTGCTAACATCTGTACATTCAGTTCTGGCACACATTGTGATTCAACTCTGCAAAAAGAGCTCTGCCTTTCTTCTTTTCCTAGGGCTAAGCTCCAGTGGAATAGCTCAAACGCACAAGCAGAAGCAGCACCATTCCCCGTGTTTTAATAAAGTATCCCATTTACTCCATTAAAAAAAAAAAAACAGTAAGTGGAAGTGCTTTGGAAAAAATGGGAACCACTCTGAAGGATCACCATATTGCCTAAAGAGCCCATAAACAACAGTGGGTAAGGAATCACAAGCACACCTAAAAGCCTCGTGTAGAAAAGCCCCCTCCCCTCTCCAGACATACTCTCCTCGCATCCTAGGACAGGGCCGGGGAACCCACCCATTCAGAACGTTGCAAGTGGCATGCAAATGAAGTGAGGATGACCTCAGCATCTCATGACATCACAGCCAATGCGGAAGGAGGTTTCTTCGCTGTGCAGTGATGGCTCCTACCTGCTGTCATAAATGGGCACTGGCAGCTACTGGAGACCCTCACGGGTTCTGGTGGCGCTTCCGGAGAAGCCATTCTAGTGAAAGGACGAGGTTGTTGAATTCTGTGGATATATGTGGGACTGCAGGAGAACTGTTTTGCTCGCAATTGAAAAACAAATGGTGCTTTGAAGGTGAGCACTGATATAATATTAGCACCGAGCACCTAATATGCCCTTGCTCAGCTGGGACGTTGGTAAATAAACCGGTATTACAAAAATATCCTAATGCTCCTATACTCCTTTCTCAAACCCTGTAAGCACCTAGGTGGCCACTAGGGACACGGGGAGTGCAAAACCACATGATACTGAAAAGAAACCTGATGCTTTGGATGCCATTGGATCATTGCAATAGAAAACGGACAAAGAGTAATAGCCAAGAATGTGCAAGTCAGCAAAACTCAAGGTGGTCAGAGTTCTCCGAATTCTACCTTGAAGCTCATTCCATCTTCTGTCGATCAGATTGTGAGCTCCTTTTATTTCTTATCACATGAAAATGCAAGCATAGCTTTCTGTGTATTTTTCCAAATGTCTGCAGCAGTTGGGTGCATCTCTGAAATGCACACATTCCACTCCTATTGATAAGCACACACTTGCGTGCCATTTTTGAAAGTGTGCATTTTGCATGTGGATTTTTCAGCTGAATGCATGCTGTCGCACATATTTTGTGGGGAGCGAGGTCACTAAGCACATTGCAAGCACAGAAATATATGGACTTTAAACACTGACGGCATTCAAATTCATGTGCAATCCAGGAGGTACACACCTGGAGTGGGATAGTGTGCCTTGGTGTCCTGCAACAGCAGGGGGTTGGACTCGATGGCCTTCATGGCCCCTTCCAACTCTAGTATTCTATGATTCCATTTAACTGGGACAGCTTGATCAAAACTTTGACTGCCCCATACATCCCTAGCAACAGCTGATTGGCCAGCTTGTGCTGATATTGGAATACTCCTGTTTCCAAGACCGCATAGCCCTCTTTTCCAAAGAGAAAGGAGAAGCAGATCCCTTATATATTGTATGCACAAAACACAGGGTTTTACCTGGGGCCGGAGCAGCAGGCCAGGATCAAGTAGGTAATAAAGAAAACGGCACTGTAAGGGGAAAAGAGAGAGAGAAAGTGAACCCAAGAAAAGTTGCCTGTTGCTGCTATGACTAAGAGGATCACTTACCAAGCTTTCCCTCTTTCATGGAACATCATGTGTGAACCACCCCCTAGAGAAAAGTGCCATGTAAATACTATTTATTCATGTCATGTCATTTCTGTACCACCCATAGCTGAACAGTTGGTTTACAACAAAGTATAAAAATGATTTTAAAAAGCAATGGATAAAAAACAATAGATAACAAGCATTAACAAGATTTAAATAGCATAAAAGAACATTAAAAGATAATAAAAAAGACTCGGCCAAGAATAAAAGAAAGACACCTGGATAGTCATGTCAGGCCCTTGAATGGCCAGGGAGGTCTTTAAAGGCCTCTGCATAGAGGGCTGTCTTAACCTGGCACCAAAAAGATAGCAAATTTGGTGCCAGGCGGGCCTCAGCAGGAAGGTTGTTCCAAAGACGGGGGCCACCACAGAAAAGGCCCTCCCCCTCATTGCCACCTTCGGAACGTCTTGAGGGGTTGGCATTCAGAGGGAGGCCCCAGAAGCTGAGCGTAGTATCCAGGTAGATCAGGGTTGAGAGAGGAGCTCTGGTAGGCATTGCAGTCCCAAGCCCTGTAGGGCTTTATAGGTTAAGACCAGCACCTTAAATTGAAACTGGAAGCATACGGACTGCCAATGCAGGTGGGCCAGAACTGGTCTTGAATGTTCAGACCTCCAGATTAAATCATTTTAAATATGAATATGACTGCTATGTTTAAAAAAACAGTTCTTGGCTTTCCCTCTAGCTTTAACCTACAGTGACTGAGAAACAGAGGCTAAGCACACGGAGGAGAGAGATTATTAGATAGGAGTTAATTGATTCTCAATGGCTGAGGTCACCCAAGTCAGAAAGCAGGTTTGGTCCTCACCCTTTTGGTGTCCCTAAGTGCATTCTTTTACTTTCCCCCCAGCTTCGGTCAACAGAAGAACATAAGTATCTGCCTTAAGCCAATTTAGATGATTAGGCTACCTAGCCTAGTATTGTTTCATCTAGCATTACCCAAGCTGTTGGCTTCCAGATGTGTTGATCAAAGGGGCAAGGGGCTAGTATATTTTTCTGAAGCTAAACTTGGGCCAAAAAAAAATGCAAATGAAAAAATCAGTCCAGAAGCCCCATGAAACCTGGGAAAGCCTTTTTGCTGTGGAATCCATAGCACAGACTCCAAGAAATCTGGACTCGGTCCGGTGCATTGCATTCTTAGTTCTGTTTCTGTGTAGGAGTCCTTGCCCTGTGGAAGCCTCCCCCTCATCTGCATGTACCCAAACGCTGCCTTTCATCACGACGGACGCTGCTGGTGATCCACCAAAACTGAGGACAGGTGTGCTGCGTCCCGCCCAGCCGGAGCAGTAGGTGAGCTGCCGGTCTGCAGAGCCAGCCTTTGCTCAGCTGGTGCGCTGTGGGAAAGGAGACCATCACGCAGGGACCGAGCCCCGTTGTGGCCAGGTCTGGCTTGGCAGGGCACTTTACGTGACCGTTTTCCCAGCTTCAATCAACACTCCCTAGCAGGAGTGGCAGTCAGTCGCACAGGGGAGGCATCCATCCGCCCACGTGTTAAAGGAAAACACTGGTCCACGTGGGTCCTTGGCCACTTCCAGCTCAGATCAGAACAGTTGTGCAGCAAACATCAGATCTCCATCGGGTCCCACTGGCAGTTTTCCCCTTGAATGTAAATCAGTGAAGGAACCTCCGGCACAGAAGATCAAGGCCCGATGCAGATGTTGGCTTAATGGGAAAGGAACAGCAGAACCATCCACTTGTCCAGACTGCAACACCCATCATCCCCACAGGCTGGGGAGGGGAGGGGGTGGAAACTGTAGTCCAGCATGTCTGGGTGGGGCAGCAGACTGGAGGAGGCTATGATGGTCTCAGGCCACACACGGCCCAAGCCTTTCTCCTTCCCTGTTGATCCCCGGCCTCCATCTGGGGGACCCAAGGCTGCAGCAGAAAGAGGAAGTGTTTCCCCCCAATGCGAATTTCTGGTGATAACCAGTATAACAAATGTGAAGGGGCTGCAGTGCGGGGTCAGGATGGTCCACACAACCAACCAGTAAAGCACTCTGGGGACGTACCAGTGACTGCAGGCATTTCATTTGGTTGGGGATCTTGGAGGTCAGTCCTTGGAGAGTCTAAAAGTTCCACAGGTATTTTTCCAACATGTAAAAGGTTGCCAGTGTCACCCTAAACTGCTGACCATGCTGTTAACTTCTGCCTGGTGGGGATACAGCTGGCTAATGAGCAGGCGGTTTCCAGTTACATTTGCGGCCACGAGGATGCGATATGAGGTCAGGGTCAGGGTGGGGGTAGGAAGGAGGCCAAACTAGCCAAAAAAAGAAAAAATCATTCAGGAGGCCAGATCAGAAAGCAACTCCTGCTGCACTCTCCGAAGTGGTGCAAAAGAGGAGACCTCTGCAGTTCATGGTGCAGCATGAGACCCTGTCCTTTTTGGCAGGCAGCTACCCACCCACCTTCCCACCTATCATGGCCATTTCTCACAATGCCCCACAACCCTGGCTCCTGAAGCCTTTTGTGAGTTCAGTTTTCCTTTTGTTTCTTCTTCTCTAAGCTGCAAAAGCACCTGGAAAATACTGGAATATTTCAGGGCCTTAAGGACTGAACTGGACTCTGATGTTTGCCTGTGTAGACAAACTGCAGATATCGAATCTGCTTCCCAACATAACTGCTTGAGGTTCCTAGAAATCCACACATTCTCAAGCAAACAGGGTGAGAAATTTGGCCCTTAGAAAAACAAAATGTGGGAAACTGGAATTCTGCTTCTTCTAGCATTCCCATGGATATGTAACATGCTCCCTCTTGCCCTTCCGATGTATACCACTTTCTGCCGGGAGTGGGGGAGTGGGGAGATCTGTACAAACCACTAACCTGAAAGTCTGCAGGCATCAGTTTCACAAATGTAAGTTCTCTCTTTTGCCAAGTTTTGTGATTTTCTCTAAAAGGGGGTGAAATAACTGGTCTGTTCAGAGGGAGGCTGATGCTGATTCATAAACCATTTCTCTCACTCAGCTCTCCAACACTGCCCAGAAGCCAAATCTGGTTGACTAGCATCACACTCCCTGTGTAAACCCCGGTTAGCTGGCTCTGCCCAAGTGGTTCTGGGGGCATTTGTTGCCTCGTATTCTTTGGTTGTGGGAAATGCCATATCTTTGGCCACTTCGAACATCATGGCTGAGATAAAGAGGAGTTCTGAGATAAAGCCAGTACTTACTAGGAAGCCCAGTACCAGGCTGGATTTGCTTGCACATATCCTTTGATCGGCTGACTGCAGCAAAGGAAGAGAAAGTGCATGAGAGCAATGCAAAGAGGGCAGAACATGGACGGCAAATCACACGATCCTTTTCCTCTACAGCTTGCCCATAGCCTGGAGGAAGCCCACCCTGCCAAGGGTCACGCATCCAGTCCCCACCTCTTTCCCTTCCCTCTTCCCATCCAGCACTGTGGTGACCGCTTCCCACTCGTGGCTGCCTCTGTAAACAGGTTGGGGGACTGGAGCTAATCCGGGGCTGCTCCGAGGGCTCTCTGCGTCTCCCGTAACGGGATAGGCCACACTGCGACACCAGTGCAGAGCACGGCCACTCTGCTTTGCCCCTGTGCAGGGACCGGTCCCTCCACTTGACCTCCTGCGCAGCTTCTTCCTGGGTGGGGATGCAGTAAATGAACCCTGAGTGAGACCCTGCAGACACCCAGGCTGGCTCTGGAAAGTGTATCTCATAAGCAGCCTCTCCACGTTCAGGGAAAGGAAGCGCAGATACTCATTTTCCACATGGCCTTCAAAATAAGTGGGGCATCCGTCACAATCAGCCTAATGCCATTGATTTCTTCACTCAATTCTCCCCCAGGGAAACAGCTCCTGGCTGTGGATTAAATGGCCTGAAAAGTCTCAAGTGGTGCTAATTTATTATTGATGCCAAAATGCAATCTGATCCAGATAGACCTTTGCCTCCACGGCCGCTGCTATTTCAGCTGCAGGCAGTCACTGAGGGCATGCTTAGAATTAACAGTGCATGCAAGGGCACTGCAGGATCCCAAGGAGGGGGCTGGGCCCAGATCCTCACTGCCCGTCCCCCTGCTTCCCACAGGAGCTGCTCCTGCCCCCTGACAGTGCTTCGTGGAGTCGGGAGACCCTGCTGCAGAGTGAGCAGTGTGGGGTTGGGGAACCTCCCAAACTGGGCAGAGGGATCTTCTGCAAGCCATGCACTTCCTCCCACAGAAGGTCCCTTCATCTCACAAAAGGCAGGTCAGGCACTGGACGCCAGGTTGGCAGGGACAAACCAAACGACAAAGTACAGGCAAGGAGAAAATAAGTAAGCACCAGCCTTTTATGCCCTTCTAAGAATGCCTTCACAAACAGTACAAAGAATATCCCCTTTTCCTAATCCACTTCCCAATAATACAGGAGATAGTAATTATTCATACTGCTGAAAGCCAGTATGCCTCTTGAATAGACTTGCCACCCAATTTCACCAAAAGCAACATTCAAGGCAAATGTGGATGTTACTCTTTAGTTTAAAAAATCCAGGGAGCTGTGAGAGAAGCTAAAACTGTTTCCTATAACCATGCCAAGCCTTGTTTGCCATTATTCTTTTTAATGCCCCATGGGCCAGACACAAATGTGAATGAATGAACAAACAAACAAACAAAGAAATGAGTTGATCAGTTGGAACATATGTCCATCAACTTTGATATATGTCTCTTACAAAACTGTATTTGTTTAGCTCCTCCTTTTACACACAAAGAGAGAAATACTGTGAGAACCTTCCCCTAAGGAAAGGGTAACCAGATCAGAAAAGGCACCGGAAGCAGAAGGCACATTGCTCAGCCAGATGCTTACCAGAAGGTGAAGAGAGCCACGATGCCAACGGTGACAAGCAGTTGAAGCAACAGGATGCTGTAAACCTAAAAGCAAGAGAACAGGAGACACGTCACCACCTGAAGGATGTTCCCCTTGTGGGTGCTGAGCCCTTAAGAAGCAAGCTATGATCATCAGTCCTGTTTCCAGAAGTTGTTTCCTGTGAAACCACCCCTCCCTGTGCACACTCACAAGTTTGTGTGAGATCACACTCACTGGTGGTGCCCCCGGCTTGTACACCTGCACTAGCCATGCCCCTTGTTGGTCATGCACTGGCCAACAGTGTGAAGGGGCAGATGCATACGGATATGCATGGAAAGGGCTTCTCCACGTGATGCAGGACCCTGGTCCGCCCAGGGCAGGAACCACAGCTGTGGGGGATATCAGAGTGTGTGTGCAGGAGGAGACGCAATCCTACTTCGTTTGCAAATGCCTGAACATGGGAAAGGAGCGGGGAGCGAGAGAAGGCCTTCCGGTATGCAAGGAAAGGTGCATTATGAATGAATCCTCTTGAATATCAGTTCCCAAACTGGCCTGTAAGTCTCTGCTGCGGCTCGTGACCCTCACGTCGCTCCAGAGCTGGGTAGGTAACCTGGCCCCCTCCAGATGCTTTGGAATACAACCCACACAAACCTCCAGCTGCATTGCTGATGGCCAGGAATTCGGGAGCTGTCATCCAAAATAACCGAAGGGCACCAGTTTACCCATGTCTGCCATGAAGCATGATGGACTATTTGGACTAGCAATAGTCTTTTATGTTTCAGCTCATCATATGGCTTTCTCATTGTGCAAATGAACACTGCACCAGGAAGGGAAAGCACGGGACAAGGCCAATCCTGCATGCCAAGAGTGCAGCAGGCATGTGCAGAAGAGTGCCATTTTATATTGCGGAGTGGGCAGGCATGCAGCAAGGCCCAAGCCAGCTCTAGGATTTATTCAGCAATGAATTCCAAACAATGCAGCATTTACAAAGTATTTCTGGGGATGATATTTCATCTCCTTTTCTACACCTAAGATCAACACTGGTTGCGCCATCAACAGCGTTGGGTTTCTGTGGCTGGATACCCACGCTGCACCTGGATCTTCTCCAGCGAAAGCAGGCAAGGCTTGGACACGCTTGACAGTCTTGACACAATGAGAAGAAAAGGCCTACCCTCCCTGCCCCACCCCGTCCCACCCCGCCTCGCAACAGGGTTCTCAGTTTCAGGCATTACCTTCCGGATGAACACCCTGCGCACATTGCGGTCATCCCAGCTGAATGTCGTGAGCGTCTCGGTGTCCCCTGAATAGCCACTGCCATAGTTAGGGCTGGTACCTGAGCCAGATGGGAAACAAGACATCTCAGCTTTTGTCCTGCAGGCTACAACTTGAAGGAAACAGGGCAAAGGGAGGGCTGGGTGCATTCTGTGATTTTAAAACCACACCTCACAGAAGTCAAAATTGGTGGATGAAGCCACAAACTGTGCAACCTGAGACTCTCAAGGCTCCTTCTATGTCATGGGTCCTCAAACTACAGCCCAGGGACCGGATCCGGCCCGCCATGTCCATTTATCCGGCCCGCCATACCCATTTGGACCCACCATGCGCCCGCACCCACGCGAGCCCCTGCCACCGCCCACCTTCCCCCGCATGCGGGGAGGCAGCAGTTTGCTCACTTGGAGAAAATGATCTCCATGCGAGCAAGCCACTGCCTCGTGCGCCCGCCTCGCGGCGCGTGCCCACCCCTGCCTCACCTCGCCGCACACCCTGCCCCCGCGCCGGCCCACCCGCACCACCAGCATCGCCTTTCCTGCCCACACCCAGCACCGGCACCTTTCAGCTGGCCCCCTGGTTAAAAAGTTTGAGGACCCCTGACTTAGAGTTATGGGCAAGTGCAGGCATACCCTGTGCCAGTTCCCACATGCAGGACTGTCCCTTGACAACTCACAGGTGAATGTGTGACTGTGTCAACTAACTCCACTGACAAACACTGTGTCTGAGATGACATGAAAAATTTTGTTATGGTATTTGATCTGCAGCACTGCATTCACACATACAAGCTACCTCTTGGTGCCACCTGCAATCATTAAGAAATGAATATTTATTTATTTATTTATTTATTTATTTATTTAGACAGCTTATATGCCGCCCCCTTCGCATAAGCCTTGGGGTCTTATGGATGTGTGAATGCACTTCTTCTTGCACCCATGCCCACTGGCAAGAGTTGAAGCCGGTAGATTTCTGACCCTTTCGCTCAGGTGTCTGCTGCAGTATAATTGGTTCAGTTTGGAGGTCAGGAAGCACTTCCTGACAGTTTGGACCCCGAGGGTGTGGAATGGGCTTCCACAGGAGGTGGTTGAGGCCCCATCGGTGTGGGTGTTCAAGGACAGGCCGGACATGCACATGGTGGGCCTGTCATGAGTGGAGCCGGCTGGAGCCGGGGGACAGACTAGATGGCCCGGGAGGCCCCTTCTGACTCACACTGTTGCTATGCTTCGGTGTTCTGTGTTTCCAGTATCCTGAAGCAGAGGGAGGAACTAGTCTCTCCTCTAGGCCACAAAGACCTTTCCCAGTGTGTTAGCACTGGGCCACAATTTCCTGTATCATGGGTGCTGCCAGACTGGGGCTTCCTGGGGCTTCCTGGAGCTACCGATCCAGAGCTACTGGGCTCTCTCTCCACATACTTGCTGGGCATGCTGTGTAAGAACAAAGGCGGAAGAAGCGGTGGGATGGCCATGGAAGGTGGCAATCCCTGAAGCCCATGAAGTTCCATGCATGGGGCAGGACAATTGCACAAGGAAAGCCCCATCTGGGAGCACCCTTGATCCAAGAGTCAGATAGGCTGCCTGCTCCAGGCCGGCAGCTGCACGCAGCCCAATTCCCATAAAGACAAGCACAGTGATTCACTGCACAAAGGAGAGCAGGGAACGGATGAAACTGGGCTCTATTTTTATCTCTCACTTTCATAATGCTACACTTCTTTTGCTCTTCATTTGACTAGCTTATTGCATGAAGGAGAAGTTTGCATAATACTAGAACCTTGTATTCATGGGTCATCCCAGGAAGCTGGATGATGGGTGATTTACAAGAGACACAAGGAAGCTCTTCTTCACACAGTGCATAGATACGCTATGGAATTCCCTCCCACAAGACATTGGGATGGCCACCACTTGGCTGGCTTAGCATCTCCACATATTCACGGTGGACAAGGCTATCAATGGCTACTAGTCCTCAGGGCTCTGTGCAGCTTCCAGCATCAGAGGCAGTAAGCCTATGTACACCAGTTGCTGGGGACCATGGGTTGTGGGTTTCCTCACGGGCAGTTGATTGGGCACCGGGTGGACACAATGCTGGAATAGATGGATTTGGGGTCTGATCTGGTAGGGCTCCTATTGTATTCTTTGCTAGATCATGGCCATGGCAAGCCAAGCACAAAAACCATGAGGGAAAGTGGAGAGAAGAAAGCATTCATTTCATGCAAGAGGAGGAACGGGGGAGATAACGAGCTTAGATTTGCTTTTGAGGCAGGAGTGTATGGAAAGTCCCAGTCTCTTAGATAAGCGGTTTGGAAAAGGTGTCACAGGTGACAGCATGAAGAGGTCAAAGATATAATGAAAAAGAAAAATGTCAGCGATGAGCCCAGCTTAATTGTGCAAACCGCATCTTCCTGTTCTGGTGAAACAGACTCCTCCAATGAGCTGCAGTTGTGGGGAAGGGTGGGGGGAGGGCACCAGACCTCATGCTGGGAGTAAGAAGGTTGCTGGCATTGGACAGTCATCCTCATGGACTGTACTGCAGACTATTCTTTGGAATCAGAAAGTGAAATAGATTACAGTGGAGCTGTGGAAGATGGGCTAGGGGGAGATTCTGAGATGATGATGATGATGATGATGATGATGATGATGATGATGATGATGATGGAGGAGGAGGTGTTCTCAAGTTCAGGGATTTGACCAAGTCAGGCAGTTCCTGGGAATAGCCAAGATGTACAGCCAGTGGGAGGGGTTGCTGAGGATGAGGAATTCGCAGATGCAGGCCAGGCCCCTCCTGCTCTCGACCCCGTGGCAAAGCATCAGCAGAGGCAGGAGGTCCAACTGAATGAGAGTGTGTGGAGAGGAGGCGTGTTCTCTTGCAGAACCCCACCACTCACCCAAAGGGATGGGGCCCAGGCTTGCTCATAAGGAGAGTTCCTGGAGGTAAGCACTAGACTGGGTTCAGCAAACTGCTCTGGGCATCTCAGAGATCTGTTCTGGGTGATTCGTACTTGGCAGAAATATAGAAAGCTTTGCAACAAAAATGGTCCGTGGCCGGTGGTTGCTTGAAGGAGTAACCTTGGCTTAGGACACCTGGGGAGTCCAAGCAGATGTTGTACTCCCAGGATCACATGAATGTCCCGTGAAGGAACAATCCTGAATGCAGTTGGAGGGCTGGCATTTCGGAAACTGGGGACAGATCCAGTGGGACATAAGAACAGCCACAATGGATCAGGCTAAGGGTCCATTTAGTCCAGCATTTCAGTGCCCGTATGCTGGTGGCATTGACATTGTGCTCACATAAAACAGCGCCTGTGTGAGGTTAATAGCACTTGGGAGCACGATGGGAAATCTGGCAGTACGGTGGCAAAAAAGCAACACCTTTCCCTCAAGAAGCGTGGAAAGCACACGCCGGGGTTCAAGTGAAATCACACTTGGAGGAGTTGACCAGAGGCAGCATTTTAATTGAAAACAAGTCATGTGCCATGGCGCCCAGGGTCCCGGTGGGCTAGCAAGCACTGCTGATGCTGCGCAGTCGTGGCTTTCTTCTAGGGCAGCTTGACAGCACCAGTGCACGGGCACGGTTGGATCCCGCCCCCCTCCACCACAAGCCATGGCAAGCTGGCCGCCGGTCACAATGCCACGTCCTGGAGACTCCGCAGTTGCTGGCAGCCTTTGTGCCCTGCAGTGCTCTTGCACTGACCTCACTCTAGGAAAACGGGGGGCATGGCAGCTTCTGCCCTTGAGGCTCCAAGAAGGGCCGTTGCTGGCAGCAGCAAGAAGGGCCACCCAAGGGAGTGTTCCTCCTCACCCAAGTCAGCTCAGATGTGCCAATAAGAACACTGACTTGGGCTGAGGGTTCAAGGGCATCCAAATAATTCTGAGCATGGTGGTGTTCCCCCTTGGAGCGGCCTAATCTCCTTCATGAATGTGCCAGATCCCTTGCGGCCATCACGTCTCAGGGCAGCGAATCCTATCTTCTGCCTAAGCTTTGTGTGCCATTTCTAATGTTAGAGAGGGGCTGTGATGGGGAGAGGCTGTAGCTCAAAGGCAGCACCCCTGCTTTGCATGAAGAAAGCCTCGGGTCCTATCCCAGCATCACCAGGTGAAGCCCTGCTGACAATCCGGGGCTAGGCAGATTCCTGCCATGAGCCAGTCTAAGGAATTTTTCTATGTTTCTAAGAAGTGCTTTCTTTTTCTGTCCTGATGCAGCTGCCAGTCCCTTTCAATGTGTAGATCCATTTGTCTTCTAGTCTGGCCTTCCAAAATAAGTCCTCTTTGTCCATTTTCTCTATTCCATGCATAACTGTGTCAGACTCTACCATCTGCCCACTTTCTAATCTGTTTTCCTCTTTACCCCGTGTCCTTTGCAGGGCCAGACATTCTGCTACTAGCAATAAATTGGAGTGTGACCACCTGTGATCCTGCTAGACATGTCAGGGAATATCTAAAGATTGCGATTAGGGCTGTGATGGCACATTTATCTTTCAGCCGTGGGCTAGCGCCTTCCTCTACTACTGAATAAAGTATTCTTAACTGAGTGTATCAGATGTGTCTCCCAGGGAATATGTCTCTCTTAGTCATGTTGTACAAGGAATCCCTCAGCTTGGTTTGATGGTCTAAGACGAACCTGCTTTGACATCAGTTCTTACGCCAGTTCCCTCCCCACAGAGACAAGCTTGGCTCAGCTTCAACAGCCTGTGTCTTTGAAAGAGTTCGTACCCTGTCCAAAGTAACTGCTAAGTTAGGAGAACATTGGATCCAGCACGCTTTCCCATTTCCAAAAAAGAAAAACAAGGGGGGGAAACACCAGAAAGGGAACCAAATGGGGACATTGCTTTGCCTATGTGTGCTCATTTATATGGAAAGATTCAAGTTTAGGAATAGTGCAATGGTTTAAATGGAAATGCAACACATATCGCCTGAAATGCCTCATCCTGCCTCATCTTGGGAGCTAAGCAGGGTCAGTCCTGGTTGAAATCTGGATGGGTGACTTTAATGTTGTGAACTGCCCAGAGAACTTTGGCTACAGGCAGTGTAGAAATGTAATTAATAATAATCTCACCATCGTGAGGAAGGTTGT